CCCTTTTTCCCCCCCCCCCCCCGCAATTCTAGTCTATAAGCAACCTTCTTTAACTTCAGTGCCCAGAACTGGACACAATATTCCAGATGTGGCCTGATCCAAGTGTAAGAAAGCTTATAATTGCATTATCACATTTAGCTTGACTCATGCTCATCCTACGCTTATACATCCTGATCTTTTCTGCCAAGCACCATGTTATTTTCTATTTAAATTCATTTTATTAGTTTGGGGCCAACCATCTACTCCTGTTGAGGATCCTGCTTTTGTCTTCTACCCATCCCAGTTTAATGTTATCTGCACCCCTACTACTATTTATTTATTCATGAAATTTATAACCCATCTAAAGACTCCAAGTGGTAAATAAGGGCAACAACAAAGCCAACACAAAAGAATGAAATAAAAACAATGACATACAATAAAATTTACTATATCAAAAATCAGTCATGATATAATGAAAGTTCCATTTCTGGCATCAGCAGCTCCACCAGCATCAAGTCCAAAAGGCCTTCCAGAAAGCCACATTTTTACAACTTCAGGAAGGCCACAAGAATAGGATTGACTCTCAGCTGAACGGGCAAGCTGCTGTGGAGGAGTGGAAGCCCACAGAGAATGCCAGATTTTGGGTCCCTTCCTGTGGGGGCTTTCAGAAGACATTCTCTATGGTCTTGGATTGGATAGACAGAAGTTATGTAGGAGGAACAAACTAACCAGCTCCTTGAATTGCACTCAGAAACACAGAAGTAACCAATGCTGTTCCTGAACCAAGGGCATTACATGGCAGCAGCCACATGGCTTGGTGAGGGTACGTGTTACTGCACTTTGCACCAGTTGAAATTTCTGGACTGTCTTCAATGGCAGCTCCATAAAAAGTGAACTACATTAACCATGAGGGACTGGGAACCAGAATTATTCCTTCTCCTCACACAAAAATCAACTGGATCCACCAACTGAGGATGGAGCAGCACCACCACAGTATGGTGCCTCCAACTTCCAACCCTTCGGGGCACCCTGAAAGATACTATGCTTGAGAGTATCAAAAGCTGCTGGGGGGGTCTAGCAGGACAGTGATGGTTAAAAACTTCGCCATAAACGAAATCAAGAGCGAAAACAGAAAGGCATCAGTTTCTCTACTTTTTGTTAGAACTTCAGCAGATGGCTGCCATGTCCATCCATGGCCACAGGATGGAGCAACGGTAGTCCTGAAAAGATCATTCCAGGCCTGTGCAAGAGAACTGGAACGTAAATTCCAATGTGTGAGCCCAGGAACATAGACCCAAACTCTTTACAACCATCATTCTTGCCCAGAAAAGAACTCTAGTAATGCAAGAGAAGGAAGGGTTCATTAAACAGAAAGTTTACAAGGCAACTTGCAACTTCAGTTCCAAGCATTCTTTGAGGAAAGTCATGACAGAAATCTGGCATGAAAATAAATATGCTTATGGTTTTGTTCTGCTCTTAAGGTCTGAATATTGCTGGTCCCCTAGAACACCGGAAGGCACAAAGGCTCTTAAGATCTATTTAACTTCACTTGAATTGAATTTAGTTTAATTTACAAAAATGTGAAGAACTGATCATTCCTCCTCCAGACCAAGCCATGATGTGGTCTGTAGAAGAAATGGAATGGTAGGTTTCGCTCACATGTATTAATTTGAATCAGAAGAATGACAGCTAAATGATTTGTCCCAGTTTTTTTATTTTTTTTCCTTCTGCCACATTAACTTGCTTCAGGATTTTTAAAATGAGAAGCAGAATATCAATTTTAAATAGAAAGCATTAAAGTTAAATTTGGAAGGATTCCAAGGGCCACACCACATCTCTGGTATCCTTCCAAAAGTTTCTTCCATCCACTTGATTTTTTATCTTTGTGGGATAAGAAGGACAAAGCTTCAAGCTGGAAACCCACCACATTGGCTTCCTAGAAGTGGGCAGAGAACCTTACACTCCATAAAGCTAGTCATTTTTGGGAGTGGAGAGAAAAACAGTTGTTAGAGCCATCACTTCATTGAAACATGGTTTGGGGTTGTCTCTTTGTAGAGTTTAAAAGGACAAGTCAAATAACCTCTATTTCCAATTTGTTTGTGTAACCATGGCAAAAAATGATTTGGAAGTATTCTCTCATATACGCTGTTTCATCACTGCACACATATCTTAGAAAGTAAAAGTAATCAAGGATCCAATACTTTGATCCAAATGACAAAATGAGCATTGTAATGCTGTACATAGAAAAGGGGCGGAGCTTGTGACATGATGGTACAATACTTGTTTGATCTTTTGCTCCCCCTTGACCTGCAGGTGCCGCTGCTAGAAAGTGATGCGCACGAACTGAATGCTGAAAAATATTAAAGGTTGGGACCAGAAAACTTGGTATCTTTTCAGGGGCAAATGGAATTTGGGGGCTGAATGGCCCACATCCATCCTTCTGGCACACAGATGTTCCACCAAACAAATATACGGATTCTAGGGGGACGGGGGTGGGGAGAACTTACTTGCCAGGCCGGGAGAACTTTTCCAATGTCATTTAAGTTGATTCCATCTCCGTCTTCACATCTTCCTTTGCCAATTCTAAACCAGGGATAGACAAATGGATCAAGAAAAGCTTGCCTGAATGAACTGTACACATACTTACAGCTGACATGGGAAGAAAATCTGGCTAGCTTTTCTCAAAACCTGAGGCAAATAATGACTGCTAACATTTTTTTTCTTCTTCTCTGGATTCTAATTTTGATTCATGTGCTGTTTGTTCCTAGAAGGGCAGGATGCTTGCAAGGGTATGCAACTTGTAGCCCTACCAGGATCCCTCACTCTTTGCCATCCTTCCAAGGGATGCTGGGAGTTGCAGTTCGCCAACATCTGCACGGTCATCAATTGCTTATCCTTGCAAGTTTCCTTATGTCTTCCCTACCCTGGTTTCTCAGTTTCACATAAAGACTTGTGGGAACCTAAAACTGATAGTTTCTCAAGATAAACTTCACATTTAATATTTACCCAGCACAGTGACCACTAAAGCAGTCTTTCCAGTTCCTACCCTGAAGCCAACGTAGCTCTCTCAAGTACTGTGAAATTGTGGCTTGGAATACTGAGGCCCAGAAAAAAAGAAAACCAGAAAAATTTGGGTAGGAAGGATATTTTTATTCAAAGACTTTTGGTTCTTGGGGCTTTTCCCCTCCACCGGTTAGAAAAAAAATAGGAGAAAAGAGATTTATGAAATATTCCTTATTATGAAAAATAATAAACAAAATGGTTAAAATGTGGAATAAATTGGTCTGTGTTTGGTAATATTTACACCAAATAAAAACATTAACACGTGAATTGACATCAGAAGTTGCAACTATTAATAAGACTTCAGATTCAAACTGATTAGTCAACATCTCATACTGTAAAATGTGCATTCTGAGCCTTAGTTCCCCCCACTCCCACCCAGTTTTTTTACTGAAAACAAGTGCTTTCTATGAATGATTCAGTGGAGGAAAAAATCCAGAACTCCTTTTTTGTTTTACAAAGCTGATGGTTTCTTCTCTTAAACAACTCTGAGAAGATTCAGAAAAGTGGAAGCAGTTGAGGAGAGAAAAAGGGAAAACAGAAGCATAAAATTGTGCTGCTTGAGCACTGAATAATTTTATAATATTATCTGAAGGGAAATGACCTGGCTTTCCATAACAAGTTGGATTTCTCTTGGTTGTGTCAAGCCCAAAGGTTCATACCCTGTTCGCTGTTACTTTCCACCCTAGAATGGCAAGAAATCTCAGTGGTTTGCTACTCAAATGTGGTGGTGTGATTTTTGAAAACTGTTGAAAAAAGTCATTGGGGGACCACAGGGAACTACTGGAGAAAGAGGCACCCTGAACTGTTATCAAAGAAACTGTTCAAGCAGCTGTCATGGCACTGCATGCTGAATTCAAGTCCTTGAAGTCTTTTTGCCCTTTGATCAAGGTTTATTCTGGTTCTCCCCAACTTGGTACCTACCTCTTGATGGCTGAGAATTCTAAGACTGGTCCCAGCACATCTGCAAGGCCAGGGAAGGCACCAGGCTATGAAAGCCAGCTTTCTGCATTTTGAACTCTGTTACTTTCATATAAGCAGGATACTTACCCTTCTCTGTCTATTTGTGGAAGAGGGTGCTTGGGGGTGTTGCGAAGCTTTCTGTGGAACTGTGTGAAGTCAAGTTTTTCTGGTTGCAAATCCCAGGTGGCCCCGCTGGGGGAAAAATGGAGAGATAAAAAGGGTGAAAGACTGAACATTCAGAATGAAACTCTGTGCAAAATGGTAACTCAGGAAGATTGGGCATACTAATTTAAGGCTGTATATTGGGGTGGGGGCAGTCAAAATAAACATCCAGGCTACAGAAGTGAAGATTGGCAATCTGTAGAAGGCCTTCTGCCCTGGTGAAGAACAGAGAAGGCATCAGGACGAGAGAATGTCTACACTGCAAATTTGTTCCAGCCTTGACAATCAGCTGGTCTGAGAGTAAACAAAATTATACTTGTATTAGTCCTTTAAAAAAAACAACCCTGAATTATTGAGGCATTCATTAAGATACTTTGATGTTCCAACCAGTAGATGGAGATGTACAAAATGGAACTGAAATGATGACAAGACTGACAGAGCAAAATGTGAATTAAAAAAGAGTGATGGAATTCAGAGAAGTTGTGGAACCTTGAAATGACATCTGAATATGGACCCTCTTCTGATAGATGAAGGGGGCACGCAAGGCCAGGAGGCCAAAGTTGACCCTTCAAGTATCAGGAGTCGCTTTGTGTGAGATGGGCAGCTATATGAATGTAATATAAAAGAATATATAAATATAAGAAAGAAAGAAAAAAAGAAAGAAAGAAAGAAAGAAAGAAAGAA